CGGCCAGTCATCCCGTGTTATCGCAGAGTATATTCCACACGAGGGGTGAGAACTGGCGCCGCATTCGTGCGATCGTCAGTCCGGCCTTCAGTACGGCTAAAATGCGTAAAATGTATCCAATGGTCAGGCATTGTGTTCGGGCACTTATGAAACACGTGGAGGACAAGGAGTCGGGCGACTGCGTGGACATCAAGAAGGTGTTGGGCAACTACACGATGGACGTGATCGCAGCCGTGGCCTTTGCCACCAATACCGACGCTCACAACGACCAGAACTCGGCGTTCGTGACGGCCGCGCGACAGGTGCTGGACATAGACATTGTCCGTATGATTGTTATATTGCTTTTGCCAAAATGGTTGGTGAAGGCGATGGGCATTAAATCGCGAGCTCCCGAGTCGGCCAATCAGTTCTTCATCGATATCAGCCGACGGCTTATACGCGAGCGAAAGGCCGACCCAAACAGCCGTCAAAAGTATAACGATTTCATACAACTTTTGATTGACGCCCGACCGGAGGACAGGGACGCCGAGACGGCCGCCGATGCGAACGCATTCAACGAAAGTATTACAGCATTCATATGATAACAGAATTAGAGATGTTTTTATGAATGACTTTATGTTTTTAGGCGAAGAGGATCTGGCGATTAGACGCCAAATGCTGTCCTCGAGTGCGAAGAAACTGACACTAACTGAGGACGAGATGGTGGCTCAGGTGTGGGTCTTCTTCATCGCCGGCTACGACACCACATCCGCAACGCTTTCCTTTTGTATCTACGAATTGGCCGTAAATGCGGTCATTCAGGACCGGCTGTATGACGAAGTGATGGCAGCGGTGGACGCGGACGGAGAGATCGGTTACGACGAGTTGTTGAAAATGCCATATTTGGACGCAATTCTGTCCGAAACGGGACGAAAGTATCCGCCGGTGGCCACCGTTGAGCGCCAAGCGGTAGCCGAATACCAATTGGCCGACACCGGNATCGGTTACGACGAGTTGTTGAAAATGCCATATTTGGACGCAATTCTGTCCGAAACGGGACGAAAGTATCCGCCGGTGGCCACCGTTGAGCGCCAAGCGGTAGCCGAATACCAATTGGCCGACACCGGTATCACTTTGCCCGCCGGTCAAGAGATTGAGATTCCCGTCTACGCCGTCCACCACAACCCCGAGTACTATCCGGATCCCGAAACATTTGACCCTGATCGATTTATGCCCGACAATCGGCATAACATCCAGCCCTACACTTACCTGCCGTTTGGCGCCGGTCCTCGCAATTGTCTCGGTATGCGAGTGGCACTCATGAAAGCCAAACTCTGTGTCGTTCATCTGATCCAGAAATATAGGTTTGTGAGAATACCGAAGACATCGGTTCCCCTAAAGTTTGAGATATCGATTATAACCCTTATTCCGGGCGACGTTCACATCGGCTTCACTAAACGTTAGATTTGTGTTAGTTTTGTCGTAAGAAACATAAATATTCCAAAATAAAAGTATATATTGCAAAGTATTATTATTATTATTTTGTTTTAATTTTTAATAAGTGTTGTCTTAGATTCAAAATTAAAAAATAACTTATACTGTATTTCTACAATACAATCATCAATATAAAAAGCTTTTTGGGCGATATATTTTGTGTTCCTTATATCAAGGTTGGGGTTAAACCAAACAAAAATAATTAACAAACCTAAAATAAAAATTAATTATATTAAATTGATATAATCGTTTCATTGATTATTGTGTAGATTTTCTAGGGTTCAAAAAATGTTTGTGGTCTGTATTGGATTGTATTTTGTAAATTTATTTTTTCATTTATTAATTATATGATACTTTATTTCCAAAGAAAATCTTTTTCTGTACTGGAAATCTGTTTATATCGCAACAATTGTTTATTGTAACAATTATTGTTTATAATAGAACTGATTCAGTATTACAACAAAACACTTGAATTGTAATTGTAACATTAATTAACACTAACGTTATGTTGAAATATTCAAACTATTAAAAACATTTCTAATTAAATTTACATTTAACTCACATTGAAATGTCATAACATCTGTGATTAGACAATATTTTACTATTTTCAATCTTTATTACAATTTCGGCTAAATTCAATTAATAAATTACGTTTAACTAATTTGGCACTTTATGTTTTTACGCGTTATTATATTAAGTACAATAACAAAGCTATAATTTATTTGTTATTTATTTAGTGTGGCGAATTGTCACTCAAAATTACATAGTTATTAAAAGAAAGTAACATATTTTGATTTAAATATCATAGCAATTGTTAGACAAAACGCTTTTGGGATCCAAGAGTTGTTGTCTCAGTTGATCCCACTTTTGGCACACAATCAGTCCATCCCTTTCTTCCCACTTGAATATCTCGGCAACACATGAATAAAAACCATGCGATATATCCATCACTGCATTCACATACGCCAGAAGTGCCGGCGTCTCAAACTCGGGATCCGATTTGTTGGCTATAGTGATGGACAGAGACTCACACTCTGTCTGTAAGTCCTTAATGAGCTGATACTGGAAGTCGAGTGCCGTCTGAACCGTGCATTTCTCGATCCAGGCGTAGGACATCACACCTGAAGTGATGTCATTTGAGGCCATCTTTGACACAAACATCAAGTAGTCGTTCACTGCCAGAGATAGTCGTACGGCCGAAGTGAGCAATTTATTTACTGGTATATACCGGAGCACCGGTTCCGGTGGAGTGTAGTCCACACTAATCTCCGCCATTAAGTGAAACACAGGCCAAACTATTTTCAAATATATTTTACGCTATAAATGTATTTATAAATTAAATTAAAAAACAATTAATAAATACTCGATTCTTTGCTTCTGAGTTTGTAGTACTCATCGTATGGTATGAACCGATTCTGAAGCCAATAATCGCAATGTATTTTCACAAATGATTCAAACGATTCCTTCACATTGTTCCTCATTTTTATCATCTGATCTCTAGTCATAAACACATCCAACGCTTCCAAAGAGTCTAACAATCGGCGGCCTATTGTTTATTAATAATAAAATGATTATATGATATAATTTATATCGTATAAACAGTACAAATTAATTATAATAACATATACTTAAAATAATAGATACAAACCCAATAAAAACTCCGGATCTGAACGTCCAGTCAATAATGTGGTCAACAGTTTTTCAATAAGTTCTACCATAAGAGGTGCCGACCGTTCCTTACGAGCCGTTTCCATATACTCATCGATAGTATTACTAAAACACCCGTATTTAGACATCGCTAACAACCTGTCCTTCTGTTGACACCCGCTATACATATAACACATAAACTTAGCGCACATTTCCATTGCCTGTTGGTTATGATCGGCGAACCCTTTCGACCATTGGATCAACTCTTTTGACAGCCATTCGTGGTGTGGATTGAGATCCAGTTTTTGATTAAACAGCGGTTTTATCTTTAGTGACCCGAACTCTTCGTTATTCTTCAGCAACGATAGTGTTTTCATTGCTTTTAATTTAGTTAAACGTTTTAATTAATTATAAATTTACTTATTAATTAAAAACTCAATGCCTAAATTAATATCATTTACTACTGTAATAATATTATACTAGATAATGATAATGTTATCTATATGTAATAATATTATACAAATATGAAATTTTATATAAATAACATTATCTGTCTGTCAATCATATAAAATATGGGCTAACGAGCGAAGGCCAGATCTTTAATCTTCCATGATAATATTAGACCCTATAGTTTAACGGTTTAGGATATACAACAATTTATTACCAATATTTTGTCCTAATATATTAGGAGTGGGGTGGGGTGGGGGTTGAGGGGGAGAGCTTTCAACATTTAGTGCAATGAAAACATACACACTATTACATCACAGGTGTGCTATACAGTATAGCCATTGTGCATACACTGTGTACTCACTATCTTTCTTATGCATGCTGTACAGTAAATGCAATGTTTCAATCAAGTAATTAAAAAAATACAATTTTTGAGTATCTGATATTTGTCACATACTGTACATGAAACGTGCAAAATCTTTGTTTTCTCAATATGTATTTATAAAATAACAACACGTATCTTAATATTAATTAGCTTCATTTAATTATAGTTAAAAATGTCAAAAATATTAAATTAAACTGTGCCGGTACAGTGCCAGCGTGTCAGAATTTACGCCGGTGTCGCGGCACCAATATACCAAATATTGTTATATTATTTTATATAACTGCAAGACTATGGGATTTAAATTTTATTCTGAAGGATTGATCCCCAGGCTATTCCATGTAAGAATATTATGATGAAAATGAAATGGCATAGTTAATTTTAAATTTTAATTTATTTATTAATTAAAAATCGATGACAACATTATAAACTATACATTATAATATTGTAGAAACTAATGATTATAATTTCAAGCAGTGGTTTTTATAATATTATAGTGTAAGTCTTAACAAAAAGCATAAAGTAATATTAAAATATAATTAATTATTATTTTTAATTGTCAATTATTTGGACCACACAAGTTCTCGGAGTTATTATTTCAAAGAACGTGTTAAAAACTCGTTATAAAAATTATTTACAGATTGTGTAATACTAACTGCTATAACATATTATGCACTTTTAAAAAACTTTTTTGCCACTAAAGTAAACGCGCAAGGACAACGAATATTCTGGTTAAGCAATATCCGAGTACTCATATTTAAGCAGAATTATCATGAATATATTACACATTTGCTGTATGTCATTCAAAAATACATGTGGCACCAATTTTGAAAAGCCAGTTGCCTGCCTGGTTAGTTTTCAAAATACTATTACAAAAGGTATTGTAAATTTTTTGTTGCTGTCAAAAGTCTTTTGTTTTCATATCAAATATTCTAACAATGAATTAGCATTATATTGTAAAACACGTTTATTTCTGACCTTCACAATATTACAATAAACTCTTGATATTATTACTAATAATTAAATTAAAATTAATTTTCAATAAATTCTGTATTAATTTACAGTAACTATATTTTATTCAAACATTAAGACATACACAAAATGACCACGAGTACAGCGACACACGTTATATTTGATTTGGGCGGCACCTTGGTTGATGCAGTGGACGGTATTGTAAATGCTTTGGACAAAACTGCCCAACGTTTTGGCAAACGTTATATTTGCAATGATAAATGTTTACATTATTTTGAAAATTATTCAAATAAAATTTAACCAACAAAGTAAACCATGATCATTTTACCCGTAGGTCTATTCGCAGAGATAAAAAATATGCCAGAGTTTATGGCAGAAGTATGCGTTTCATTGGATCTAAAGATACCGTCGGCTGAGTTTGTAGACATGGTGTGTAAAGAGTTGGAAAATAACCCTGCTCAACTGATCCCGGGTGTCGATCGGCTCGTAAAACATCTCTATAAACACAACATTCCGATGGCTATCGCTACCAATGGGTCAACAAAAATGAAGGTTTCGGGTCAAATCGTACATTTAATGCCATATTTCAATGAGTTTATGTCACATATGGTTTGCGGTGAAGACGATCCCGATGTTAAGCGTAATAAACCGGCGCCCGATATATATAATGCTTGCCTCAAACGGTTTGCATCGCCGCCGGAATCGCTAAATAATTGTGTAATATTTGAGGACTCGTTGACCGGTATAACCGGTGCCGTGGCTTCGGGTATGAGTACAGTCTTTATCAATGATACCATTGATAATAGATTTAATGAAATTGTGGGTAAAGTGACAGCAATTACCAGAAATTTAGTCGAGTTTAAACCCGAGTCCGTTGGACTACCGGCTTATGATTGACTAAAATTTTCGTCTCAATTTTTATTTAATGATTAAATTATAAAACAATTTAATATATAATTTTTATACATTAATCAATAAATTTAAAATGAAACAATGATAATTATGATTGTCAAATATAAAAATATTATAAAGTAAAAATTTTAACTATTTTTATTTCCTCATCATTGCTTTTTACAAATTATATTTAATTAATAATAAATTTATGATAAAGTGCTGATCAAATATAATAATTATAGCTATAATTAAACATAAAAATTACATTAATTGTGACATATAAAGTTTTATATGTTTTATTAATTTTTACCAAATTCATATTGTGTGCTATGTTTAAGCTTATTTGCTTTTTAAAAGTAAATTAACAATAAATCTTTTCAAACACTTTATCCTTAAACACTTTACATAATTGTAATTGAGATTGTTTTTACCTGTAAATCATTTTTGTTTATTAAATCACACATTTGCTCATTGCTTGTATTAAAGGCTATTTTTTAAATAGGTTTTGTAAGTTGTATAATTTATAATTATAAAAATTTCATAAATTTTGTTATAATTTATTATAAATAAAATATGTTTCTAAACCGTTTTTTGTATGTATTTAGAATTTATTGAAATTAATTATATATAAACATGTGGTTTAAAAACAAAACCATTTTCTAATTATTCTTAAACGTGTAATTCAACTATAAATATGTGGACTCAATTGTACCCAATCAATGACAAACCCAACATCTCTTTATTAAACTGTAATTATTGCAAAAAATGTTTTATGTCTCGCCAAACATATGCTTTGGCTTTGTCTCCTTCAATACCCTTGGAAAGTGCCGTCTCCTGAGTCCCTACTTCTGCCCTCCACTTCCCTCCCCATCGGCACCCCTTCTCCCTCTATGTGTTACATCAAATGTGAGCCCAATTTAAGTCTAGGATCCATAGAGTCTATGGCAGAGAAAGTGGCGATCATTTAACAACACAACCAATTTTGGATAATCTGTTGTAAGAGTTTGGGTTAGTTTTTAACATTAATTGTATTTGATTTTTTAATTTTATTATTATTCAACTTTCTAATAATTATGTAATTGATTGATAATATCTGTTTTAAACTAATACTTATAGTCACGACAGAGATATCTAATAACGACGGCATATGTATTACTGAAAATTTAATTTAAGGAATTTATATTAACTTGTAAGTAAAAATGCATTAATATTAAAAAGCGCATGTGGGTGCTATATTTTAATTTTATTCAGTTTCATATAATTATTAAATCAATTCTATTTAAATTTTTTCTTTTGAAAGCAAGTTGTAAAACGAGTTCTCTATAAAACTAAATAAATTGACACATCATATGACTGATTTTATAACTAAAAATAACATTTGCATTTTAAATATAATTCGGAATAATTGAATGAAATAATAATTGTTAATATAATTTAATTAATAATATAATTTTTATTATAAGACTGTACGAACGAGTTTTACCTAGTTTAAATTTTTATTTATTTTTGACCTATTATTTACTAATTTAATTAACTTCTTCTTTTTTATTGAAAGTCTTAGAGATAATGGCGACAGAAATCACTGATTTGTCCTCATTTACTGAACAGCAGCTTTTGATGACAAAAGGGGATCAACCGATTGATATCAATGACATATGTCTTCAATTATGTCATAAATATTTGGCCGGAATTTGGTCTCAACTGACTGTCGATGACATCCGTATCACTCGTATCACTGGAGGCGTCACTAATCAGATATATTTGTGTCAAATCATTGATACGAACAATATTTCTAATGAAGATGAAGAGCCGACAGAATTGATAATCCGATTAAATGGTTATAAGTATGACTTTAAGAACTTTGATCCCAAAAATCCGCGATTCAATGACGGAATTATAGTACCGCTCGTCTCTCAGTCCGGATTAGGACCACAACTGTATGGACTCGACCCCAGCGGACAACTCCTCAAGTATTATAAACACACAAAGTTTGAAAGAAAAGATTTAAATGACAACAAACTGATGAACAAATTGGCAAAAACTTTGGCAAAAATGCATTCATTGAAAGCACCGATTCCTCGACATAAGGACTGGATTTTTGACTTTTTTAATTCATTTGTAGAGCAAATGGACAACAATTGGAAAGAGATGCAGAAATTACTATATGTTAAGTATGAATGCAATGTTTTATTGGATTTTGATTTGAAATCAGAGTTACAATGGATTGTGAGTTATATTCAGAAATATTTCTCTCACATTCCTCTCGTTTTATCTCACAATGACTTCCGAAGACCTAATGTTTTCATCACTGAAGACAATGAAATCATTTTAAGTGACTTTGATTTCACGAGTTATGGCAGCCGTGGCTTTGATTTGAGCGCATTTTTTATTTCATTTATAACTCCGGATGACTTGTCCGCAGACTTTCCATTCGAGTCTTCAATGATATCATTAATTAATTTCTATATCAATGAATGCAAGCAATTGTTTGGCGAAAAGTATTTACAGAAATCATACAATTCTATGGATTCAATGCTCAATGAAATTAAATTGTTTGCTATAATTAACTATTTATACGGCATTTGTTTCTTTCTGTTTGAAACCAAGAATACACCTCTCGATGAGAAGACGGGTTTCCTTTTGGCTGAATCGGCACTTAAAACCTATATTCATCTAAAAAAT